GGTCTATTGTGAGTAAGGCAGAGGCGCCGCAATTTACAGCCAGGCGCTGGTTCGAGCGGTACCGTACGCTCCCCTGTGGTTGTGTTGGTGGAACAAGTCTTTTAAGGACTCATCCGCACTAATCAGTACATATTTCGAGAAGAGTAGGGGTTAGGGTTACCCCAGTTTATACAGCCCGTGCAACACTACATTACAAGATGAGCACGAACGTAGGAAGTTACGCACGATGAGTTGTATAAAAAAAGCGGGACGTACGGTAGCGTTTATGTTTGGAAACTCTCTATTACCCAGTATTTATTCTACCGGTACACCCTTTTGAGACACCGTAGTCACCATTCTATAGGCCCTATAGGCCTGGGCCTACTAACTGACCTACAGAGGCTACACAGTATAGCGTGATAGGCCTAATACTATGATGATTCAAATTTGATAAATCTAACATCGGTGGCAGTTTTTACATATCTCTTCTCTTATAGACCATGGATAGACTTAATCATATTCCAAGAAGAATACAAAACATCTGCTAGAATAACCGCTGGTAGTATTACAATTTGGTATTGATTTTAGAGAACGTTTATTCATTTGATGATTGCTTCATCAAGTCATCCATAGGCGGACCATCATATCATGCTTTCATTGGTGATCTGGCCAAAATCGTACCGGTACCTATTCTGTTTCACTTTGCAAAAATCAGAAGAGAGCGGATCCGGTTTTAAACATCTGTACACATATGATCTTCAGAATGACTCTCGCTATTGTTTGCCTTGGGAATCTAATAAAAGAAACGCACTGAGAATTAGCTAAACGTAATATTAATATCGGAACAAAAAATACAACAGCATCTTTCTAGTTAGGCCTACATTATAGACAAAGTGAACTAACCTTCTCGTAACGCTCTTCGTCAGTTTCTTTGCGCACAAAACGATTTGTAACGGCATATGCAATAAGTGCCAAAAACTTGAGGCCTAGGAAAAGGCCAATGAAAAGGTATCGATATCGTTCAATATCGTACAGCAGACAATCGCCTTCTTCCCCGCACGAAAAATCCCGAATCCAACACCCTATTCGAAGAATCGCTCCAAAATAGAACGGGGCTGGTATAAACCCTAAAAGAAACGGCAAAAATACAGACCGAGATCAGTGGATACAGTTGAATTAAAGTATACCAATTTATAGAAACAAACTATGATAGCAAAGAGGAGTAATCGAACCAAAGACGTTAAATACCGTTCAAAGGGAAAACACTCCATTCTCAGAATAGTTCTACAACTTTTTTTTATTGTTTGAGCGTAGGCCTATGTATACAGTTGTCACTGAGGTAAATTTTGTAAAGTTTGGTGTCCATACAATCGCTCACACTATCGCCGACAGCTTTCGATGATGCTGATTGGTCGGTCGAATCGGGCAGCCTTCCCGATTGCGTCGGGAACAGCTACGCAGTAAAACGATTGTACTGAAAACACTGTAGCAACAATGTAGCTATTTTAAGGAAACCAGGCTTACGTCACACGTAATTCAGAACCGGTATTATTTAAACTAAATACAGGCTTCCTTTTGTTTTCAATAAGTCAAATAAAAAAAAAACCACCGCGCACCAGACAAGAGCGTTTTTAGCAGTCAAGTCACAAACAATAGCATTATATAAAATGGAAATTTCTATCAGTATGGTAACTAACGATAACAGCAAGCTTGTCCAAGTCTCTAAATATAAAATATTATGCCCAATGCATCGGAAATGTCATATTTACCAAGTGTTCGTAACACGAGTGACGCCATGCCGACGGCCATAGCTCGATCGTACTGATGTACACACCTATAAAAAAAGAAACAATGACTTACTATTCTTCGTCTCATACGGTATCCATCGCGTCTACAAAATACTATCCAACAAAACTTGAAATTATACTTAACATACACACTGCGTGCAAGACGTCATAAATTATGTGTGCACTTTCAACCAATAATGAACTCTTAATCATTTACTACCAGCATAACCGTTTAAAGATACCGAAAGTGAGACTATACTTCAAAACCACACATGGAAATAACTTACTAAAAAGTACATTCAACACTTACCTTACGATAATTACGAAAGCAGGATTTCCCAAAATAGACGTCATAAGCGATAAAGCCACATAAGCACCGACGAACAAATATATTTTGTTATCGCAATCCCACTTGTGACGGCATGTTGGGAAAGCGTAGCCACCAGAAGGGTTTATCGTGTTACTGTCCCCTTCCAGGATTATGCACTGACATGCAGTGAAAATCTAGGTAATGTAAAAGGGAACAAATTGGTTAAATTATTTCCATAGGGCATCGAGCCATAACTTTAGATTCGATTAACATTTTGGTCTAATCATAGATTTATAATGAATGGATGAGCGCTATATCAACCGATCGGCGGGCCAGTTGTCCACTGACTAAAACCAGCAATAAAGCAATCAATTTATCACTATAATATCAATCCATCGATCTATCAATCGTGAAAAAATGTGAGCAAAAATCCAATGCAAGCAATGTTCGATGGCGCGGTGTAGAGCGTAGCCACATTAATTTTATATAGGTCTAATGTGTCTGTTGGTCAGCTAGAAACCAACTACTGCTATTAGAATTGTCCCTATTATAAAAGACATACCGTAATGATTGGACGATGTTTATATAACGTACCATTTTGTTTTGTACTCCAGGGACAAGGGATCTGTTGCCTTTAAGCTGCCCCCTGCACCCAGCGTGACAGGCACTAACGTATATTACCCCATTCCAGTCACACACAGGGTCGTACACATGCTCGTCGCAGCCACAGTTGGCATTGCACTCGATTGTTGTAGAAGCACTGAAGGAAGAGGTAAACGAGTTATATATATACATTGTATATATATACAATAAACACTGTTCATTTTGAGAATAGTGATGATCGTATTTCATTTATTTACATTTGATAAAAAATCAAACGGATAAGATAAGATACTCTTTATTCGTCTATTCACATATAGAAACACATAATCAGAAATGTTGTTACTCATACGTAACAAAAGCTTAGATTAAACTTTTACTTTGATGACGTGTACGTAATCCGAATTATCAAAACATTGACAAAAGAGTACCTACCGGTACTTATTGATACAGTTCTACGTAGCACGTCACAATAGACCATGGGTTTCAGTTCAAGCTGCAAGTGTATAGCTCACCAGATATAAGCAGAGTATGCCTTTTTCTGCTAGAGGATAGGAGGTGGAGTGTGAAGTGCAAATCGATGAGCTATGGTTATAAAGATGAAGGGTTGGGAGTCCAGATGGGGGAGGGGGCTGCATTCCCTGGAAGCTCCGGCGTTTTACCTATTTTATCTAAACGATTACACGCTTAGAGCTTTTGATTCCCGGGGAGAGCGCCCCTTCCAGCACCCTTGGAACCACCATTGAATTTATGTGACCGACTAGGATAGGACATATTGAATTTCTAAGCGCGCCCAAATCGAAAAAAGAAAAAAACGCCCCTGTGGGCCTACTTACTTTCCAATTGCTTTTGGGTATGGTATTGTATAGCCTGCTATTGTTGGGTTTCGACAACCAATCAGAATTAACAACGGTGTACAACAGACTGACAGAACACACATAAAGAAAACCATCCGCGCACAGCGTTTGGCATCCAATCCCCACCGCCTGACAACGCACGCACCAATTATTTGACCAACCACGACGCCTGGTAATGAAATTGTGACTAGTACAAAAGATAAAAATAATTAATGAGTATGACAATTTGTTTGTTGACTGATATGTAATTTGCGTAGAAATATCAAATTAAGTCATTATTGTCGGTTTGATGTTATTGATCTTATTAACAAGATTAGGGACTACACTACTAAAATGACATAAAACCATCGGTCGAAGTCAACTAGGCCTAATGGATGGTATTCCAGTACTGTATTATAGTTTCGACTATCACCGTCTACGTCATTATCATTAATAATAATAATGATGATGATAATAATGATAATGAAGATGACGAAGATAACTATGATGACAACGCCGATGATGATTATGATGACAGGTGAATTATCATCACACCACCACCATCATCATCCTCACCACTATCCTGTATTGCCATAATCATTGGCCGTATTCGACTGGTCGTTCTTCGTTAAACCACGCCAACCTGCGCAGCGGTAAAATCCTACTTAACGAAGACGACCGATCGAATAGAAATCTTGTAAATACTCGACAAAACAAAATGGCTGCATAGTTACCGCGATACACGCTGTGTAATCAAGATTGCTTCAGCTTGTGGCAGTATGGGTTTTTCGTAAAGAAATATTTTCATCCCGTTTTTTAATTCTGTTAGCCTACAATTATTTTTTGACTTCATTTATAATTTTTATTTTCTGAAATTTAATCTAAATAATATTAACGCAAATGTTGTTTCTAAACTCACCAATCGGCCATGTTTGTTTTGGTCACGTGGATAACTTAACGCTGATTAACGCACTCTGGTTTACGTTAATTTTCGTTGTCAATGAAGTCTATTAAATTTTACGAACCAGTCGAATGAAAATAATACTCAACGAAAAATCGTAGTCAACGAAATGAACTAGTCGAATACTCCCATTTTTAATCATCATCGCCATAATAATTAGCATCGTCATCGTAACCATCATCATCACTAGCATCATCAGAATTGAATGTCTTCCGTATTAAAATATTCATCAACTTCCCAACACAAATAATCATTTTGTAGTAATATACATTATAAGCCTTGTGCTTAAAACCTCCAATTACCTACTACAGTCTCCGTCTTATGCACAGATATTATCTTTATTGATTGATGCATAGCGCACATTTCGGTCCCTTTGTGCATTATTATTATTATTATTATTCTAATTCAAAATCTGAACATACGAACGTATGAGATAGACACGTGATTTATTGCTGTGTGAACAATCAACACAGCCGATAAAGTCACGCACCTAAGTAGGCCTACCTATGTCTATAATAAGTTTGATTTCAACTATTATAATCGTGAATCTTCTTCATGATAAATCACATTTTTTTGTGAACTGTGCACGGTTTCGGCGTTTAAGATGAAATACTCGCTCGTATTGGATCAACAGTTTCAGTACAACATGAAATCAACAAAAGCTACGGTATGTCTAGAGAAACGGGCCGCGCACCTGAATTCAAATCAGTCAAAAATATCACACTTTCATAATCAATTAGAGGATTACTATGGCATTTTCAATTTATGACAATTTCGGTATCGATAAAGTTGGGGAGGGAGGGTATGTTGGTGAAGGTTGCTAACAGGCCTATTACCATAGGCGTAGATCCCGAGGGGATGGGGGATATATCCCCCAATATTTGACAAGGGGGGGGGGGATGGTCCATTGTATCATCCCCCCAATATTTTGACTATGTATGGGATAAAATGGAGATTTACACACTTCAAAAGACTGTCACAGTCTTATGCGCTTACAAAATGAAAATTAGCATAATGTATTAATGTTGATAACAAAATTATTTTATCTGGTACCAATCTAAGCTCTTCTTTTCTTAGATGTTAGATGTGCTTGCAAAGAGAGCCACATTTCACAATGAAGTGTGTGTACGACATCAGTAATGTTATGTCAATTCCAAAAATGTTTAAGGTTATATCGGTTGATGAGGAATTTATTGATTAGGCCTATAATAGCAAATTGCATCAATTTATTTTGCAAAAACAAGGTTTCCAGCTTCAGAGGGGGGCACATCCCCTATCTTCCTTTTTATTCTTGTTTTTATTTTTCTCTGTTTCTTTTTCTTTCCTTTCTTTCCTCTTCTTTCTCTTTCCCTCCCTCTCGCCTCTTTCTTTTCTCTTATTACCCAGCCCGGTACGACGGCTTGGTCAGCCCGGTAAAATCCGTCAGGAGGGCCAGTTTCCCCCTCCCCCCCCCCGCGCCTGTTACGACACTGGCTAACACGCCAATCATCCCCCCAATGAAAAATACTTTTCTACGCCACTGCCTATTACTAATTGGATGGCTCTCCACATCTGTCTTCGTCCAGTCCCAATCCAACTGCGAAAGTTTGAGAATCGATAGAGGGAATTGGGTTGATTATCTTGCTTCCACTCTTCGGGTTTGCAATTTACTTAAACATGCCTAATATACACTGCCAAGAAGACTAATTCTTGTTATCCATTAAGATTTCTCTGTGATTACGGCTAGGTCGTTATCCCATACTTAACGTACGTAAACGACAATTTATAATGACTTTGCTTCGAATATTTGCGTCGTAACATCAAGGCATTTCATAACAACATGTTGGTGGGTGCTGTAAACAATATAAAATGTACCGTGTAGACATAGAAACAATTGCATAGTATACATACCAACTATTACCGATGCTGTTTCCAAATCGGTTTCAAATTGTTGAAACATATATTTTGCCGCAAGAAACAGAAAGCCAGAAATAATTGCCACTTCACAAGTTAGACCGAACACCATGGATGTGAAAGTTACATTTCTAAAAAGTCTGCGCATAGAGAAACAAAGACCTGAAAAATCAAAATAGAGGAATGTGTCAATAAACAAAGGATACATATTTTGAAAATCAAGCACGGATGCCACTATTCTTGTGTCGAATTTTTATAATAAATAAATAAATAGAAAAAAATAATCTTAAGTTCTTATCTATAACAAGATTCAACATTCAAGATAGCCTTTATTGTCCATTAAAAATAACAGAAATTCATTTGCAACCCAACCCAATTTTAACAATGATGATGATGAAAAAGAACAAAACGACTGTTACTAAAAAATCAATGATAAGGCACAAGATGTGAATGGAGGATTCACTAATACAAAACCTGTTTAGACACACAAAATCTCAACAAATCAATTCCCTAATGACCTCATTTCATTATTTCATATAAAATAGGTTCAAAATTTATTAGTTAGGCCTATTATTTTTTCATCCCTCTATTTGTATTTTGCCAAACCCAATTTTCAGGCGTCTTCCCAAAGGCGTAATTCTATACTGGCTTCTGATTGTAAAATGAGAATGCAGAGTCATATTTGAATTGTCACTGACTTGCACCTCATTATAATGTGCATACGTAATCAATAATTACTTTTCTAATCAGTAAACAGCAAGGTCCCTTCGTCGATTCCCGTAGAATGATGAAAATAATAATGCCATCTTGTAAGGCGCACGTATCCATCTCAGAGAGCTGCTCGCGGCGCCATTTCAACTTGCAAAGAGTGCAATAGACTTTTCTGCCTTTCATTTATTATATTTATAAAGGATATTTCATTTTATTTTAATTTTGTTTATTTTTGTTTAAATAATACGTAAATGTATAATTATTATCAGCTTAACTCCTGAGGAGAATAGGCAAAACTCGAGTTCAAGATCTTAAAGGGTCATCCATTCATCGCCACTATGTCGCGTTCCCGAACCTCTAGGGGCCTACAGGTGGCTCTAACCAAGGTCCATGCTCGAATAAAGGAACGGGAACCACATTTTGCCCTGCCACAGACGAACGGGTGCTCAGAGGCGACAATCGGGATAGTGGCCCAATAGAAATAGATGCAGGCCTGACAAAAAAGAGGGGGATGATTGTTGACAAATTAATCAAAATAAGAAAGGAAAAGCAAAACCTCTTGAGGAAATTGATTCCAGAATTTTCCCACTGCGACTTGGAAAGACCTCAATACCCAAAGGTTATTTGAAAGATCACCAGAGAATTGATCTTGTATATTAACAAGCCTTTTGATGTAAACTGGTCAAACATCGTGCAAAGCTTTGAAGGCTAGCAACCCTAGCTTATACTTATACTGAAAAGCATACTCGTTTATTTGGGCCTAGGTTGAGAGGCTGATATTGTACGACAATCGGCGACGTCGACCGCAGGAGCCAACGAACGTGACTAAAAAAATATCATTGATGATTGTTTTTGATAGAAACAATGGGTCCCGGGATTTTTGGATGGGTTAAAATTAGAGTATTGGTTATAATATAATAGAGTATATAAATTATTAATGTGGTTAATATTATTGCAAGGTATTGATGTTTTGATTGATCGAGCTATTTATATACAAACTATTTCTCACAAAATTAATAATAATAACGTTCAAATAAGTATACCTCTCTTCTTTTTGAAGCCTTCAAAAATTGTTACTCACTTATACTTGTAACTTGATCTTGCGGTAGGCCTACATCTATATAATTATATTCAACTACATAAGTGGTAGTCTTGCGAATGTTATTACAAGATGACTGAACTGGCTAGACGCATTAATTTAAGAAAACATCACCTGACTCGCAGTTTTTTTAAGCATTGAGAGTCCGAACGTTTATTAACGAGTGCATCTTACATAACTCCGCTTATACAATCAGAAACAGAAATTGTAATATGAATGTGACTCAACACAAATTCATTGATGTAACAACACCGACAAACCTTTAAAACATCCTTTTTCCCACGCTTTGTCCGGCTTTTCAACAATCAACCTGTATGCATCGTCATCTTCTCCGTCGTCGTCTTCATGCGCATCTGGTTGCAGACTTCGCGGGAAACATAAAAGTGGAATGCTTACCAGGATGATAAAAGCACCACCTGCAATGAACCCTAGCCACCAGGCCCCAAACCATTCTGGGTCCGATGGGAGGAGATCACTGTCTGCGGTTCCAAGTTGATAAAAATCAACTGGTGTATTGAGGCAGAATTGCCAAGCAAAGTAGCCAGCTATAGGGCCTACTACCAAAGCAACAATAAATACACCTGGAATAAAAATTATTCATTTTATATTATTTCTGTAAAAAAATGATACAACAATAAGGAGACCAATTTTATTTAGGTCTATTTGAGAAAATGCTTCTAAAATATTGCGAAATGTGAATAGAGCCGCATTTTAAACATCTTATCCATCATCGACATAATAAATTAGAAGGTGAACCAGCCATCAGAAATTGACGATTTCATGAAGGTTAATTATAAATAACTCTGCGTCATAAAATATTATGACAGACCAAGAACATTAGGTCTATAAATTAATATTGTTTTCATTATGTTGGCGAAGAACAAATGAGGGCATGGATAGAAAAAGAAATATGGCCCGCTATAAAAATGAGAGAGAACAAGTCCTGACTATATACTAAACAGTAGAGTTCAAACTAGAATTAAAATCGGTATGTCTTAGACCTATTATTAGTCAATTCTAGTGGCTTGTTTGTCGCTCGAACTAGCATCGTATTTGTTCTTATTAGATTTCTGAGCGATAACCCATGCGTTTTGCTAGTTTCACTAGGTGCCCATTTTAATATAACACCAGCTCGCATAATAATTTCAACATTGAAATTCAACGTTCTGTTAGATTCGTTGACTCTCCTTGTTATATTAGCAAACAAAGGATAGGCTTACAACGGGCGATATTATTTAAAAAAAGATTCATTACATTGATCACGCTGGCATTTAGGCCCTAACTTTTTAAAAGCAGAATCATTATACTGTAGCATGAAAATGGTAATTTTTTTTTATCATGTTTATGTTATTTGATCAAAGCGATTGTGATTGTTCGGTTTTAAGGGGATTTGTTTGAAAATGATGAAGGATTGCTCAAATACGGTACTAAAGACGCATCCCTTTGTTACGGGCCTGGCCTGTGCGTCCGCAATATAAGCAAGGAAGTGGATAACTATTTTGGTATAGGTCTAGAATAAAAAAAAAACGTAGGCCTACGGTGTACGGTCACCATGAGTCCCGAGTGGAAACGGATAAAAACCCAATGATTATTTTGATAAGCACACCTAGGGCTCTGAATGAGTGATTACTAAATGAATCGAAAGTAATTGACAGTCACACCAATATCAGATCAAGGCAGTGAACTGCCATCATGGTCACACGTCGATCGATTAGGTTATTATATGTCCTTTTTTTTAAATATTATTATTAAATTATAATTAAGGAATATACGGTTAAGAATCTTACCAACAACTATTGATGTGCAAGACTTGTCAGTTGCATCTACGAGATACATAACTGAAAGCGGCAGAATAGGGCCTATACCGATCCCGCATAGTATCTGTCCAACTATTATCAATACCATCCTCGACATTTGCGGAAACGATATAAACACAGAACTTTTTGGGCAATTTTCGGCATCTTTATGTAGCTCGCTATGTACATTTTCACCAGTGGTAGAACAGAGCATGTTGTTTCTTATTTCACCATAAATATCCGTCTGGAGTGCAATCTCTTCAGTGGTAGTGGCGATTGTAATGTTAGATACCCCTACGTCCAGATCGGATAGTGCAGAATCCCAAAGGAAGTGCGGTAAACCACAACAAATGATGCCTACACCGCACAAGAACGCCCCTAAACTTACTACCCTTGGTGGGTGGGATCTGGAGCCAAAATAACAGGCAAAAATTAATGTCAAAATCGATGCACCATCTCTAACATACATGACAAATAATGATGTTGAATGACTAATTTCGAATCGGTCCTCTATTGCTTTAGCTACACCATCGTAGTACGAGTGTATGATTCCTCCGTACGTCGCCAGTATTAGGAACACGAGTACGACAAATGTTACATGTTTATACGGCGATCGACATTTACGTTTTTTAACCTGTGTATTCCTACGACTATGCTGTCTGTCTAGACCATCACTGTGGTAGCTGTTATCTTCCGCCGTAGACCTGAAACTCCAGCTACTTCGCACATCTAGCCCTGCTCCTCTTAGTTCGGAAGCCATTTTAAATTAAAACGGTTACAGGAAACCGCAAATATCTCCAAACAGAAAGTACGATTCAACAATTTTTCAGTGTTCCTATTATCTTCTAGTATACATACGAGCAAAACCAAACAAAAGGCTTTCACTGTTTACCTTCCTTCCTTCCTTGAGCGACGGTACAGTGTACAGCAAGCGTACCGTAAACATGACCTTACTCAGTCTGATCTAAGCCTGCTTCATTATAACCAACCAATCTCATCATCATACCGTACCACAAGGGATGTTTGATGCTTGCGTCTATAAAAGCACACAATTTCGCCTCTGTTTATCGATGCGAATTCACAAGAGCATTGGCCTACAATGTGCACGACATCAAGCTGTAACAAATGTAATTAAATATATAGGCCTATGAGTACATATCAAAAATAATGAATAAATTCGTCAATTCGCTTTAAATGAATCATTGGCTATCACTGTCGTGGATTTCATTATTTTCAGTTTGCAGTGATGCATGATTTACTAACAATCCAACTATTGTTTGCCTCGTCACTGTATTATGAATTGTCGCACCTATTCAAAATAAAAAATACAAATCAATGCTTGCTCCCTTTAAACTGCTAAGTTCATTCGGGATTGAGCCGGGTAAGTTTACTGTATAGCCTATCACAGCAGGCCTAATGAGCATAATTTGCTCAATCTTATAGTGACTTTCTGGAGTCTGGAAAATATATTAGCTCACTACACTGTTAATTTAATATAAGCCTTAAACGATTGCGGTTGCAGAGTAGCACAGAAATCGTGAAACGTATATTGAACACCAGATATCAAACCCCACAAAGTTTATGAGGCCTAAGAAGAAAATGTGTTTTAAGAGTAGAGAAATATATAGGCCTATATATATTTTTGATTACAAATATGAGACATATAAAATAATATAACTTATATATATTAATTATATATTTATATTATATATTATATATTATATATAGCATAGTTATATATATATATATATATATATATATATATATATATATATATATATAACAAAAGAATATAGGAAACGATCAAATACCATGTATAGACTTCATATTGGTTTTCTCCAATAAAGTGTTTCTGAAGTCTATACATGGTATTTGATCTGAAAGTAGTCTCGTTGAAATCGAGTACAGGTTTTTATTTTCTTCTTTTAAGTATGCTTCCTTAGAAAGAGAAATATAAATAGGCTTATAAGTATTTATTATGATGGCTGATGTAAGCCTTATGTAAACAAGTTAAAGCAAAATCGAGTCTGATACAAAATATAGGTTGCATTACAAAAAGGAAAATCGGGTTTGATACAAAATATAGGTTGCATTACAAAAAGGAAACTCATTAATAGCTAATAAACTTGTGTCTTTTATTTTAACCAAAAATAAAATATGACCACAGACCTACACATCGTTTTCTTTGGTTTCAAGCTACATTAAAAACGAATTAGTTAAAACAATATTTTTGTAGATTAGAAATTACAAGTTTTTTACAAAAACATCAGCACAGAAATCTGGCTCCGTAACGACTCAAGTCAACATTCAGTTGTGTTTACTTCGACAAGAATGTATGTTTATTATAAAGTTTTTCTATTAGAGCCAATCCTCTGTTAAAGATTCAGTGATGTTTACAATTTGTCATTTCTTGGATCGAGATGAATGAATGAACGAACGAACGAACGAATGAACGAATGAAGACATGAACGAATGAATTAATAATTAATTAATTAATTATGGATAAATGAATAGGTACATAGATGAATGAATGGATAGATAAATGGACAAACGAAGGCGGTACCCAATAAATGAATGATTGAGTGAAATCCCATTATAAAGAAAAATAGACTTAAAAAAATAAACATTGCAAGTACAAATTTACGAGAATGGCTTTAATACAAACATACATTGCAGATGTTTATGTCATCTGATCCATAATAAGTTTTACTGTATAGGCCTATTATAATGTGAATACGGTATTTGCTGAAATGAGTGTTCATACCATTCATACATAAATCATGGAGGTAAAGTAGATTGCAAATGATAAAATACGAGGCGTCCAATCACGGAAAACATTGCTGAGCCCTAAAGGTCACGAACGTATGCATAGCGCCCATAATTATGATTATGAAATTGTATCAGATGTTTCACTTCACCCGGAACATAAATGGTACCTTGATAAGAGGTGAGGGCTTTGGAATGAAATTCGGTACCGCTATGCATGACTAGGATTACTCGCAGGGATCAGATGATGATGTTTCTTAAATCTCAATTGTACAGTCTAGCTTCTTAGCATTGTGAAAATTCACAATACACTTAAAGATTACTACTTTACCACAAGAGAGTTTACACTAAATGTCTCTTTGTTATCATTAATATATATTATCATTATAGATTATGCATATATATATATATATATATATATATATATATTTATATAGATATACATAGGCCTATATACATTTGCAAACGATGAAAAAAAATCACGCGTTGAACATCAAGATGCATTATGCCCTCTTCTATATAAGAACTGTAGCTCCTATTGCAAACGGTTATGAAGAGGAATCTGAGGGTGAAAACCACACAACAGGCTTGAACTCGGATTTCGTGCTGTATGCACTACTTTGACCTTTCAGGGTAAAACTAAAAAAAGCTCGATATAGCAACAAAATGCAGTGACTATTTTTAATGTTCCGTGACTCTAATCATCAACATGGATTAAAAGAAAAACAATTTTCTAATAATAGCCTACTGTATATTGATTACAATGCATAACTATAGCAACATATTAATCTCAGGTTCGTAAATTCGAGCCTTACATTTGGACCTTGCTTTTTCTGCCTCATATCTCTAGGACGACCTATGTCCCTGTCTGTCATTAATCACACACTTCTTAATTCAATTAAGTAGATATTAAAAACCATCTCTTTCATCCCATATAGCTTTCAATACTCAACTAAATCATTATTTTACTCTCTACGTCGTATATTTTTTATGACTTTAATAGTTTACTTTTAAATTGGTATGATATTTAAATGTTTCTAGGCCTCAATTATTACGTACCAAGTTCATTCGTTTATTGAGTTTTCATTCTATTTGTATCTGTGTATCCTCGTTTATTGCTCGAAAAATTAAAAATGTGAGACCTGCATGTTTGACGAGTGAAGTTATTATTGGTTCAAAAACTCTTTTTATCCAAATTTTCTAATGCGACTTAGAATATGTTTTTCACCATGAGTGAAATGTTATTGTTTCAACATGCCTTCATTTTTAAAATTTGGTTTTCTTTTGTCATTGAACTTAAATAATATTTTATTTGTAAATCTATAGTACAGTATACCTTTGGGGACATCTTAGGGACCAAAAATGATATCCTCTTTTCCTTGTTCATTGCCCGAAGGAATGTCCCCTTCATAACAGGTGTCGCTTTAACAGGGGAGTCCCAAAGAAGGGGTTCTACTGCATTGTCTATTTTCATAATACATTGGCGAACCAGCAAGCGCAAATCTAAAATTTTATTATCAGAGTTTTTAAGCATAACAACAAAATTTTTTTAAATGTTGCTTTTTCACATAACAAATCCGGTACGCTCATTCGGTAGAGCATGAGACTTTTAACCTCGAGGTCGAGGGTTCAAATCCCACATTGGATTTACTTTTTATATAAATTTACCCAAAGAGACTTGCATGTTTGATGAGTGAAGTGATTTCTTTATTATTACTGGTCTTGACCAGTGAAATGTTATTGCTTCAACATGCTTTTGCTTCATTTTTAAAATTTATTTGCTTTTTTAATGGAATTTAAATACGTTTTATTTGTAATTCTATAGTACAATAGAATCCTTTAGGGACATCTCCGGGACCAAAAAAGTGTCCCCTAAATAGCAGTGTCCCCTGAATAGGGATTGGCCGTTATAAAAGACATGTACCGTAATATTTGCCTCGTTCGATCATTGCGAAAAAGTGTCCACTTCAAAACGGGTGTCCTTATAATAAAGGGGAGTCCCGAAGAAGGGGTTCTAATGGATTTTATAGTTTCATATATTGTTAACCAGCAGGGGCAGATCTAAAATTATATTATTAACGTTTCAAAATATAAAACCTCAATTTTTTTAAATGTTGATTGTTAGGTGTAACAAGCCCGGTTAGCTCAGTCGGTAGAGCATGAGACTCTTAATCTCAGGGTCGTGGGTTCGAGCCCCACATTAGGCGCGCTTTTTACCAAATTTAACAACAGACACCTGCATGTTTGAAGTGATTTCTTTATTATGACTGGTCAAAAGCTATTTTTATCAAAATTTTCCAATTAAAATATGTACCGTACTTGACCAGTGAAATGTTATTGCTTCAACATGCTTCTGCTTCATTTTTAAAATTTAATTTGCTTTTTTCATGGAATTTAAATACGTTTTATTTGTAATTCTGTACAATAGAACCCTTTAGGGACACCTCTGGGACCAAAAAAGTTCCCCCTTTAATTGCAGTGTCCCCTGAATAGGGACTGGCCGTTATAAAAGACATGTACCGTAATATTTGCCTCGTAACCAGCAGGGGCAGATCTAAAATTATATTTTTAAGGTTTCAAAATATAAAACCTCAATTTGTTTAAACGTTGACTGATCGGTGTAACAAGCCCGGTTAGCTCAGTCGGTAGAGCATGAGACTCTTAATCTCAGGGTCGTGGGTTCGAACCCCACATTGTTCGCACTTTTTACCTAAATTTAACAACAAACACATGCATGTTTCATGATTGAAGTGATTTCTGTATTTTGACTGGTCAAAAACTATTTTTATCAAAATTTTCCAATTAAAATATGTACCGTACTTGACCAGTGAAATGTTATTGCTTCAACATGCTTTTGCTTCATTTTTAAAATTTATTTGCTTTTTTAATGGAATTTAAATACGTTTTATTTGTAATTCTATAGTACAATAGAATCCTTTAGGGACATCTCCGGGACCAAAAAAGTGTCCCCTAAATAGCAGTGTCCCCTGAATAGGGATTGGCTGTTATAAAAGACATGTACCGTAATATATGCCTCGTTCATTCATTGCGAAAAAGTGTCCACTTCAAAACGGGTGTCCTTATAATAAAGGGGAGTCCCGAAGAAGGGGTTCTACTGGATTTTATAGTTTCATATATTATTAACCAGCAGGGGCAGATCTAAAATTATATTTTTAACGTTTCAAAATATAAAACCTCAATTTGTTTAAACGTTGACTGTTAGGTGTAACAAGCCCGGTTAGCTCAGTCGGTAGAGCATGAGACTCTTAATCTCAGGGTCGTGGGTTCGAGCCCCACATTGGGCGCACTTTTTACAGAAATTTAACAACAAACACCTGCATGTTTGATGATTGAAGTGATTTCTGTATTTTGACTGGTCAAAAACTATTTTTATCAAAATTTTCCAATTAAAATATGTACCCTACTTGACCAGTGAAATGTTATTGGTTCAACGTGCTTTTGCTTCATTTTAAAAAT